GGGGGGGGGGGGGGGGGGGGGCGAGGACCCCCAAACCCCCCCCCAAAAAAAAAAAAAAAAAAAAAAAAAAATCCGCCAATGTTTCAAGGTTTAGGCACTGTCACACCTAACGTAAAGCATGGATGTATGAGAAAAATTGTCCATAAGAAGACAAGCGCAAAGGGCTCTACTTACAGCGAATACATGTACCTTTCAGTCATGAGTACGCAGGAAACGTTAGTGTACGTTCCCATATTCGGAGGGAGATAAAATGTTTTGAGCATATTTTAAAACAATTTCATGCACTGCTTGTATCTTTATTTTAATACGATGGAAACATGGTGATTTTATACACCAAAAATGTACGTATAATTGATGTCACGTCCGAAACTTTTTAGCTTCTCTTTGCGCTACATGTGACAGAGACTGTAATTTAAATATTGTCAAGTGTTATATCCGTGCACCACTTTTCCCTCTCTCCCTCCCTCCTTTTCCTTTTCTCCCCCGTCCAACATTGGAGCAAGGAGTTATGACTCCCTGATTGGAGTTACATGTATCCCTTCTTCCTCCCAAGAACAATAAATAAGCATAATAAGATAAAATCAAACTATTCTTCAGATCTTTTACTGTACGTATTACAGACTGAGTAATGTATGAGCATTATCAATTACTTAATTAATATTTGCTTTGTTACATCTATCTTCATTGTTATTTTTAAATTTTGATTTAATATAAACTGAGAACTTGAGAAATATGATGTACTGGTATGGTTACAAATAGGTGTACGGGCGGTGGCTATAGCCTTGTCAGAATAGTAAACTAATATTCAAAAGGTTCGCCGTTCTTTGAGACTGATTTCCACAACAACCCTCCAATCAAAATGTGCCATACACTGTACCAGTTGTAATTTGCATAACAATCAGTCACGCATCGCAGTGCGAGCTGTGCTCCTGACTGGTCACTTGACAGCTAGACCTTGTAACAAGATGACCTGCATTGATAGGTGTGGTGAAGTCAGTGAGGCAACACACTTTATTCAGCGTTGAAGCTCGGACCCATTGTGTACACGTTTGGTGGAACCACGGTTGAAGAAAATATGTTTTGTGAGTAAAATATCTTCGACTAGAATGTACAGGTGAGAAGAATGTTCGTCTGATACACACGATTCGATAATACGGTACATGTACAATGCATATGTATCTGTATATGTAAATGCTTTGTTTTCGCCCTTGCATGTTATAACGTAGCCTATTGTAGGTACCGCAGGTAAGTCCTCAAGTCGCCTGGTGTTTCAGACTATAGTTGTTATAAATATCCACACACTTTCAAAACTTGGGTGTCCTCAGTCGCACCTTGTAGTGTAAGGTCCCTATTTTGTGCAATAAGTTAACCTATAAAGCATCTAATGTCGAAAACTGAGGCAAATGTACGTTAGTGACAGGATAATTTACATACATCTCCCCTGTTGTGATTTTAGTTTTATATCGTTAATGTGTTTGTCAGAAACTCGTTTAATTGTAAAGTTTACGGAATGGGTAGAATAGACTTTTTAACGTTTATAATTAATATATTCTTTCAGTTGTCTTATCTGTGTTCATA